AAACAAATAACTGGAAGTGATAGTTCCACCTATATAATATACTCTGATAATAATTGTTCTGTTTCTTTAATAAAAAGCGGTATTGTTCTGGTAAATGTTTGGAATTATTGCCTGCTAGCTGTGAGCGAGGTGTGCCAAGATTCCAATGTAGCTCTGTGGCTGTAGTTTGCCTTGTCGATTATCTTGCCATTGTCAAAATCAATTTTATGGTCATAAGACCAGGCATGATTCGCAATATTTGAGCCCGCTTTGTGTTTCTCGACATTCTTCACATGCTTTTTTCCGTGTGATAAACGCTCGATCCGTCTCACCAATGTAGCTCCACGAACAACCGGCGCAATTTATGCGATATATTACATTTGTTTGTTCTTGGGATGGTCTGTCTATTGGCGAAGGTAGCATTTGTTCAAGTGTGTGTATACATTTCGTTGTTGCTTGAATGTTATAGGGCTTGAGGAGGCGTTTGAGAGGTTCTGTTAGGCCTTTGATCTACGGTAAAACTGCGTAACCAACTTTTGTACTTGGAAAAACTCTCGAACAAGTTCTTCTGGTGATGGTGTTTTTTGTTGTCTCAAAGCACGTTTCTTTTCCACTTCTGTCAAAAACTCCTGTGAGTACCCATTAGTCGTCAACGCTTTAATAACATGCTCACGTTATTGTTGTTTGCCTTCGATCGAGTTAGGAAGTGTTGCTGCCCGATGTAAGAGAGTTTGTGCTATGCTAATTTTATGTTGTTTATCGTGATGTGAGTTGAAATCTACTGTAAGTACTTGTCAGTGTGCGTATGCTTACGGTAGACATTAGTGATGAGCGTAGCTACCGTTGTTTCGAGAAACTAAAATGACTAAGAATAAAGGTCGTCCGTCTTGTTCTCGTTCTGTAGTAAAATTTATATCCGGGTCAATGGAGTTCAGTAAATTATGAAAGGAATCGAATGCATGTTTTTTGATGATCGAGAAAACATCATCAACATAGCGAAACGAAACCATTTCTTAGGTGGTATAATTGCTTGAGCCAGAGCGAGTTCTTCAATGACCTCTAAACAGAGGTTTCAGGGCCGTAGCTAAGCGTGTATAGTTGGGGGGGGGGCTAAAATTTTCCGAATGACGAAATAAATTTTCGAATATTTCATGGCATACGAAGCCACGAAGGTGTTTGCTATACGGAAAATGAAGACGCTATTTACAAAAAAACGATACGCATATTTTACGCACAGACATATTACAGAAGCATGCAGTGCTGTAGAAATATCTTTTTGTTTGGGGGGCTGAAAACGAGGGCCGAAGGCCCGAGGAAATTTTTAATTTCTCTGAAATGCCATTTCCTGGACTTTTGACTTTTAGTATGTCAAAATTTACAATTTTCTTACAATTTAGTAGAACTGAATGGGCGAAGGCATATTTAATATTAACTATATATTGGAGAAGCTAGTTGCAGGAAAAATATGGGTAATATGATTCTTTGCGGTTTGTCATGGATACTGTAGCCGCTTAAAATTAATTAATCAATTGTCCAAGGATGTGCATGATTTTGAAAAAAGAATGATTATTAGCAAATCAGATTGTGAGGGCTGCAGCCCTCGGCCACACTCCAGGTTGTTACGGCCCTGAGAAGTAATAAACCGAAAAAGATTTACCGACTTATGATTTGTTAAATGTTATCCGTTATAAATGCAGTGATTTCGAAAATAAGTTTATATTGACAATATAATTTTATAATATTTTATTTGTTTTAAACAACTAAAATTTTGTTATACTATTATTGCTGTAATTTTCCGAATGGCCAACCTGATTTTCCGAATATGTTAATACTAAAAAAGTTGAGGGAGGGGGGAGGTTAACAACCCCCAACCCCACAGCCCCTCGCTACGGCCCTGAGAGGTTTGCCACAATAGGGCTTACAGGACTGGCCATAGCATAACCGTGGATTTGTTTGTAGTTCTGCTTGTTGTAGTTAAAAAATCTGTTTGCAAGTGTGAAACGTAGAAGCTTAATAATGTCGTCAATAGTTAGGTTTGTACGTTGTTATAAGGTAGCATCTTTCAGTAGTTTTTTGCGAATGTGTTCGCATGTTAAGTTTTTTCGACAGGGATAGCAGTAAACAGAGAAACAACGTCAAAAGAAATCATCATTTCGTCGTCTTCAATGTTGATGTTGGATAGCCCTATGTGCAAAGTCAGTCGAGTTGATAACAGAATAGCCGATGTTCTTTTGTAAAGGTGCCAAAATATCTGCTAGATACTTGGATGTGTTATATAGTGCTGTGTTCGTACATGTTATTATAGGGCGAAGTGGATTGTTTGGCTTGTGATGTTTGACAGAACCTCGGATGGCTGGTGGAATGCAATTAGTTGAGTGTTGTTTTTTGTAGATGCGTTCATCAAGCCTATGTTGTTGTTTTAATTGTAGTAATTGTGAATTTAACTAGCGTTCGATCTTTTTGAAAGGAGGTTTTTCGACTTTTTCGTAAATGTTTTGGTCAATGAGCAAATTCTTGCATTTTCTCGTCATAGTCTTTTTTATCCATGACCACAAAACATTTGCCTTTGTCCGCTTTTATCACAACACGTGTCTTATCTTTCTTCAATCCGTAGAGTGATTTGCGTTCATTAGCCGTAGTGTTTTTGTGTTGGGGAAGATCAGTTCGTCGTATTAAATTAGCCGCTAATGTTCTGACTGCGTCCTTGGATTCTTCGGATAGGTTGGTGATGGCAGTTTCGATTTCGGCTACTAAATCTTTGGTGGGTATTAGAAGCAGTGTTGAGGAAAACTTGGGGACTTTATTTAAAATGGCACGTTCATCGGAAGAAAGTGGCCGTTCTTGGAAATGTTGGTAACCCATTTGGATGAATCAATAGTTTGACCGGCCGGTGTGGATTCTTTGCTTAGGTTTAATAGCTTTTTTTGATGTTGTTCTGGACAGATATGATGTAACTCTGTTCTTTAGAAACTGTGAGAACCGAGAGAATGATTCCTCACAGTTTAAAGCGCACAATTTACTTCGATTTTCAGGGACGATGCGATTGGTAGACCGTATCTGTTCGTGGCAGATGCTAATCCGTGCTCTCATACAATGAACACTCGTTCGTTCCATGATACGTTTGAAAATAGGATGGTTAGAAATTTTCAAAAATATAATAAACTAACCTAATTTACAATTTACCTAATGACATCATATCCGAAAACGTTGATCAAGACGGGATTTTTTATTATGAACAATTATTAAATGAAGTTGAGCACGATATGAAGAATTATCAAGCCCGAAGTTTGCCGTTTCCAACCGAAGTCGAAGGCTGAGGTTGATAAAGGTGAAATGAGGGCTTGATGATTCTTCGTATTGTGCGAAAACCGAATTCAGTAATTGTTTTATTATTTATTTAAAAAATTTAAAAACAAACGGAAGCCATTTGTAATTTATTTGTATTAAGAAAAAAACAATTCCTTAGTCCTTTGGCAGCCGTCGTCATCGTCATATCAATGGCGTCAGCGAGTCAATATGATTCTCGTCGTCAGAATAATATGGCGCGAACGCGTCCAAATTTTTTTAATATATATTGACTCTTTCACGTCATTTTGCTATTAAGAATGTGAAAAATCCGTATTTGGTTAGCCATTGAGTTGATATGACAATTTCGCAGTTGGCTGTTGGCCAATCAGAGACCAGAAATTTTTTTTAATAAATAATAATAAAGTTTATTACATTTCTTCTTCGAAATATCTAAATATTACACATACTAAAAATCATATCTGGAGTCAATCGCACTTCAGTATATCTTACTAAACATTGCCAGTGTTTTTTTTATATTATAGTTCAAATTCCCGCACCCGTATACGATATTAACATTACACCATACAAATATGCAGCACGTGTGACGTGGAGGATACGCACATCACCTAAAGACTCCAGTTATATAACAAAAATCACTATATATCTCAACGGTAGAAAATATAAGACTTTATTTCGAGGAACTCGGGTCGTTATCAAAAGACTTAAATCGCGTACTCGGTATCAAGTTAAAATTGAGACTCAAGATGGTTCTTATCAAAAGAGCAATGAAGTTTCTAAGTCTTTTATCACCAAGAAAGCAGGTAAACGTAGCAGATAGGTTTGCTGAAACATGCATGTACCACCTTATATAATTATTTAAACAATTATCTGAAATAGGCATCTCCTTCTCTAAAAAGCACCCAATTATTTAATTATAATAATAATGATGTATTTTTAATGTGTTGCCATGTATAACACAAAGTGTTTTAAAAAGTAAGAGGAATCGTGAAGTTTCTTTTGTCAATGTACGTTAATTTTGCTTGGATCAAGTGGAACACCCCGACCCGTTGTGTTTATCTTGTTTCTTCTACAACCATGCACTTGAGATGTTTACATGCCATTTGCAATAAATGTAGGCCCATGTGTGAGTATGGCGCACGAGTTGCGGCAATAAAATCAGCTTAAATTGCCTATGGTTGTAGTCTAACGAGCCATGGTATAATTACAATTCGTTTATGTTCATCGAGAACACCAAGTATATTTATTTTGCAAAACTTCTTGAACGTATGCCCACATGCAGATCATCAGGATTGCTTATAATTAACAAATATTCACCGAAGTAGAGGTGAATAGTGTAAGGATATTCATCAAAACCAAACCATTGATTGATCGAAGTAAATATATCCTTGTACTGTTCAGTGACAGTAAGGTGAATATTTGTTTTTGTATATACCAAAAAAATGACCTAAAAACAACGAAAATTTTGTTAAGGCTCTTGTAAATATTATTGAAAACAAAACAGTATTTATACTACAAGCGTTTGGAAAATTTTTTCATGAGGAATAGTTTTAAAGAAGACCTCTACTCATCTCACCTCCTCATCTCAACCGTATTTCGGTTGTAAATCTGATTGGTTTATGAGACAAAAGATTTTTTAATTTGTCATTTGATTGGTTAGTGCTAATTACAGTATGGGCTATATTGTCGTTGATATATAAGAATCATCACGTGTCATGGCGTACGTTAAACATGGTTCAAAGCGCTCCGCGCAAAATCAAAAAAATTCACCTTTAAACACGCCCGTGAAAGAAAGTCGGTCAAAAATGCCTAGGGTTAGTGACACACCAATGAAGAAGGAAGAGGAAAACCAAAAAAAAACAATAAATATGGAAGATATATACGAAATGATGGCTGCCATGAGTGAGAAGCTTAAGAAGCTAGACAAGCTTGATATGATTGAAGAAAGAATTAAGGGGATAGAAGACCAATTAAAATCAGTTAAACACTCTGTCGAGTTTGCGCACGATGAAATTGAAGATATCAAGAAAGCCAATGAGCGTACGGTTGAAATCGACAAGAAAACGCAGGAAAGATTGATAGAGTTAGAGGCGATAAATACTAAATTACTGAATAGCGTTATTGATCTCAAGGCGAGATCAATGCGCGACAATTTAATATTTTATAACATTAATGAGAAAGAAGGCGAAAATACAACAAGCCTTATTCATAACATTCTCGAAGAGCACTTGGGTATTGAAAACGCATCAATTAACGTTAAAATTGATCGTTCTCATCGCATGGGAAGCAAAAAATCTGATACAAAACCGCGGCCAATAGTGGCTAAATTTAACTACTACCAACATCGGGAGCAGGCGAGGCTTAATGCAAAGAAGCTTAAAGGGACGGGAATTGCTATTTCCGAGCAATTTCCAGAAGAAATCGCGAGAATTAGAAAGAGCCTTTATCCAGAACTGAAGAAGGCGAAGGCACAAGGAAGAAAGGTTCAAATGATTCGGGACAAACTAATAATAGATGGCCAAGTTTTCAAGCCAGCTGATCAAAACAAATAATGGTATCATATTTCATTGTTTTTCAATGCTATATTTATATAGAACCTAGAACTTTAAATCATTTTTTATGTACCGTTATATATAAATAATTCCCATAATGCCACAGCAAATCGTAAATAAATGCTCCTCATGCCTTGAGCTTATCGAAAAACAGCAAAAGCATATAGAATGCCTTGCATGCCGGAAATGTTTTCATGCGGATATTTCATGCGTAAAATCATCAAATTATGCTAATAAAAATATTGACATATGCCAAATTTGTTTAATTAAATGATACTCTGCCATTTCAAACCCTTTCAAACGAGGAATATGTATTAGATGCAAGCAAAAGTAACTTGTCAGAGGAACATATGGATAGACTAAATCAGCTCAAATTTAATCCGTTTAATTTCAACAACGACATAGCCTTGTGTGATAGTAATGCGAATTTAGATCATGTCTTGGACACAAACAGACTAACGTGTAATTACTATATACCGGAAAGTCTTAATAAAAAACAACCTTCAAATCAGCAAAATCAATTCTCAGTCATGTGTTTAAATATAAGAAGCATCTCAAACAAATTTGATATGTTTAAACAACTAATTAAATCTACGAAGGAAAATTTTCAGATAATTGGTTTGACAGAAACATGGCTAGGCAATGAGAACTATAAAAATTTTAACTTGGAAGGTTATGATTTCATTAGTATGCATAGAAGTGGAAAAAAGGGTGGTGGAGTAGGTATATACGTTGCTGAAAATTTACAACATAAATTACGCAAATACCTCAATGTTGACATAGAAGACACCATTGAATCTACTTTTATAGAGATAGCCACTGAAATTGGGAAAAATATTATCGTCGGAGTAATTTATCGGCCACCAAATAATAAGATCGAAGTATTTCAAGATGCTATAAATGAAATTTTGAGCAAAGTAGATAAAGAGAATAAGATTTGTTATCTCATGGGAGATTTTAATATTGATTTACTTAAATCAGAATCTTGTGATTTTGCCAATAAATTTATAGAACAACTTTTTACATCTTCTTTTTACCCACTCATAACAAAACCAACTCGAATAACATCCCATACTGCTACTTATAGACAATATTTTTACTAATAACATTGACAACATTGATTCAAGCATAAATGGAATTCGTTTTAGTGATATTTCAGACCATCTACCAATAATTCACAAACTTTTTTTGAATACCCTAAGGCCTAATGAAGACACAGGAGAGAAATACTATACAAAAAGAATATATAATAAAAATAATTTTAGGTTTTTTACGGATGAAATTAGAAATGTATGTTGGGAAGGAACTGATTTCTTGCAATAACCCAAACGAGTCCTTTAACCAATTTTCCACATTATTCACAGCTAGTTATGATAAACATTTTCCAATTAAAAGAATGAGAGTAAATAAGAAGATTAACAAGTACAAAAGCCCCTGGATGACAAAGTGTGTTTTAAGGTCAATCAAAAGGAAAAATAAATTATACAGTAAATAATTATCAGATCCAAATAAAATAAATGAGAATTTGTATAAAAAATATAAAAATCGATTAAATCATGTAATTAGATTGTCCAAAAAGAAATATTATGAACAAGAACTAATTACATATAAACATGATTCAAAAATGATGTGGAAAACAATAAATGAGATACTAAGTAGAAAAACAAATAAAAAAGAACTTCCAAAAGAATTTACTGATATGAATACAACAAATACTATTAAAGATCAGTTTGAAATTGCAAATAAATTCAATAACAACTTCGTCAATATTGGACCTAACCTAGCAAAGAAAATTACAAATACATCCAAAACAAATTTTAGCAAATATCTGACTCATAATTATCTAAACAGCATGTTTCTTGATCCGATAACAGAATTTGAGGTACAAAGTGAAATAAACAATTTGAACTCGAATAAAAGCCCAGGGTATGATGGTCTGAGTGCTAGAACGATTAAACAAGTAAGTAAGGAAGTATCAAAACCACTTGCACATATATTTAATCTGACATTTACTACAGGTATTATTCCTGAACAGATTAAAACTTCCCTGGTAACACCAGTATTTAAATCAAATGAAGAAAATAAATTTGAAAACTATAGACCAATATCAGTTCTAACTTGTTTCGCTAAAATACTTGAAAAATTAATGTACAAACGACTAATAAATTACGTTGAAAAAAATAATATTTTATCTGACCATCAATATGGATTCAGAAAAAACAGATCAACTGAACTTGCAATAATCGAACTTGTTAATAAAATTACAAAAGAAATCGATCACGGAAAATACACCATAGGTATTTTCTTAGATTTGTCAAAAGCATTTGACACCATTGATCACAAGATTCTGATCAGTAAATTAGAATATTACGGAATTCGTGGCATAGCAAGACTTTGGTTTGAAAATTATCTTACAAACAGGAAACAAATTGTAAAATATAAACAAATAATGTCAAACGAAATGATAGTACAAACTGGGGTCCCGCAAGGTTCAATATTGGGTCCGCTACTTTTTATCCTCTATATAAACGATATTCAAGACTGTAGTGATATAGCATCAATGCTATTGTTTGCTGATGATACAAATATATTTTACAGTCACTCATGCCTCAAAACACTAAATGAAACTCTTCAGACAGAAGTGGACAAAATAGCCGAATGGCTAAACAGAAACAAACTATCTATCTATCAACACATCAAAAACCAAATTTATTTTATTTCGATCCTCAAAAAAGAAAAAGAAACAAGTAGTAAAGTTGTTCCTCAATAACGACGATATCAAACAAGTCAAAAGTACAACCTTTTTAGGAGTAGTTATTGATGAATATTTATCATGGAACGATCATATCGATTCCGTTGCAAAGAAAATTATAAAATCTGCAGGAATTATTGCAAAAATTCGTCATTTTACAAATTTGAATACTTTAAAACTAATATACTATGCTTTAGTCTATCCATATCTAATCTATGGCAATCTAATATGGAGTAACACATACAAAACAAGAATTCAAAAGTTAACAAATATTCAAAAGAAAATAATTCGTCTTATGACATTTCAGTCCAATTTTTCTCACACTGAAAAAATATTTATTGACCTACAGATCTTGAATCTCAGTAAGTTAAATAACTACCTTACAAGTCTTTTCATGTTCCGATATCATCATTTAAAGAACTTGCCAAAAACTTTCACAAACTTTTTTATTTCAAATAACCAAATTCACCAATACAACACTCGAAACTCAACTAAACTTCATAAGTCTTATCAGAGAACTAACTACGTCAAGCACTCGCTTTCAGTGAAAGGGGTGGACGTTTGGAATAATCTTGACAGTAATTTAAAAATAATGACATCACGTCCCATTTTTAAGAAAAAATCCAAAATACACTTTCTATGTAATTAATCTTATAAATCACTTTAACTGTAATTTCTCTTCATGTAAATAGATATTTAACTCAAGCTTCTCATTTAAATTAATAAAAGTAAATACTCTCCTACAAATATTGAATGTAACATAACCTCACTTTTTGTAAATACTTAGAACCGATGACAATTTAACTATATATATTAGCACCAAGACTTTAAACTAGGGGTCTAAATCAAAAGCCTGTTCAAGGTTTCTATAGACTCCTAGCCCAAATGTTTCTACTTTATTTTATTTACTTTTTATGTAACATAATGGTATATCACATGGGCAAATCATTAAATAAATAAAAAAAACAACAACTTATTGCTGTTAATTTATTTTGGTCAAATTTTGCGTGCGGCGTCATATTTCAAAGGCTAAAATACGTGAAAATTCACCTAAAATACATGGCTATACCGAACGGGGAATAAATCGTGCTGGTTTGGTCTAAATTGGGCTTAGAAATGCAATGTATTACCAAGCCAAATCAGTTGCATATGTTCAATATTTCGTCTGAAAATGGAATTTATTGAGGTCTGCTTGATGTATTTGTGTTGTTTCACAATACAATTCCTAACTAAAATGCTTCATATTTAATTATTGCGATACCGAATTGCGGTTAAGTCCAGATATTCTAAAATATATCTTGGAAATTAGGTTTTAACAAGTACAAACTAAAACAGATTGAACACTTTGGATTTTAGCGCTAGTTTACGAGCTAGGGCGATTTTTTCGCTAACACCCATACAAAACACAAGAGTGACGGTGGCCATATTTCTACAAAATATTTTCTAAGTCCAAACACTCAATGCGCGTGCGTGACTATCAGACATGTAAAGGTTTCACTGCATACTATAAGTTGAATGATATAGGCCTAAATGAATTCAACAGCAGCGAGAGAAAACAATGCTGAAAGTTCAATTGCTAGCTCATTATTATATTTTTCTCTAATTATTTAATTAAGGGACCGTTCATTATTTATACCCTAGGGGGGGGGGTTCTTATGTCATATACAAAAATCTTGTAGCCCTCCCCCCTTGACGATCTAAATGTTGAAGACCCCCCTATAAAATACTGAAAAATCTATACACTTGTATGAATGTTTTAATACTGTACAAAATGTATGAATGTTTTAATACTGTAAACTCGGAACACTGTATAAGTCAAGAGCCAGAACTATTGTTTCCCGTGCATACTTTTGCTTTAAAATTACGAAGTGGCTATTCGTACTGGAACAATAAGCCGAGTAACGAGTTTGATTTGCTATTCGTACCTCAGTTGGAATATTTAAGATAAACAGACCCCAACCCCAAACCCTTCGACCCTTTTCTAACCCTAACCAATAAATGTCTAATAAACTATTTGAAAGTTAAAAAAGTTGTGGAAAATTTTTTTTTAAAAACTGAAAACCGACGGCTAAACGGCTAAAATTCGCTAAAACTATATTATCTCTATTACAACAATATATAATTATAATATATAATATATAATATATAAGTTTTCGCAAGTTTTTGCAATTTCTTATATAAAGTGTTTTAATAATTCCTTTGAGAAGTTGCCGTATTATCAGGGTGTGTTAAACTATATAAAGTATAACAAACTATTAATGCACATGTTATACAGAACTGTAAACTGGCATTTAACACACAGTTTTTTTTAGTTAATAGTTAGTTCAATTAGCCAGTTTAACCCTTTAAGTGGCAATGCGCCCTACTTTATTATTTTACTCTGTCTAACGCCAGACTATTTTACTCTGGCTACTATGCCAGACGATTTTACTTGTCAGGGGGTTTAGAACTATTAACAATTAATGCATTTAAAGTGAGTATTTTTTTATCAACAAATACATCAATATTTGTCAAAACTTAATCAAAAAGTGATTAGGTGGCCTCAAAAAATGGCTTCAAAATTATGTAATGTAAGCAAAATTAATGATAACAATAATCGTGAGTTCAAAATACCAAAAAGAACTAAAACATTTATTGTATGGTCTCATTTGCCTCATATAACAATAACAATAATCTTTATTAGCATTCCCATATATTATAGGTTCATAAATGGTATTGCCTAACATAATACTTTAAGTCAAACAAAATTTTAGCTAGTCAGAGTTCAAATGGATCCTCTTTTTGTTGCGTCCAGGATGAAGATGAAGACACTTTTTAATTTTTCTTGTTACCAGGACAACTTAAAAAACATATGTTAAATATGTATATGCGTTAATAAATCAACTGATTTGCATTACTAACAACGAGTGTCTCATATTACACCACAAAGCTTTTCGCGCGGATTACATTTCGCGCCGCACGAATTCTAGTACTGCGCGAATTCTTGTAATGCGCGAATAGTTCTTGTTGTTATTGCATTAAATGTTACACAATCCAAAGTTTTCATTTCTGGCGAAAATTTCCCACTTACCAGTGATGTTCTATATATAGACAGGTGCTACAAAGTTTTCAAGTTTTTTTCTACACTCCCCTCAGGACTCCAAAAAGGCAAGTACCCCCTCCCATAGGACAAGATGAACTTTACATGACCACCCTCCAATTTTTCCCACTCCCCCTAGGGTATAAATAATGAACGGTCCCTAATCTGCTTGTAGAAAAAGCAGCCATTGTGCTATTTTAATCTACTAAGAACAATCTGGCCAAGATTTAAGAATCGGAGATAATATTAGCAATATACGACATAATATTAGGTTAATGTCGGCTTAAATTTTATAGCATTACAGTATTGCGGTTTGTAAATGTATATATGACTCAAAAAGAAAAAGCTGATGAAGCCTTTAGAAAATTGTGTATTTCTTGTTGATTAGAACCGTACAAAGTGCTAAATTTTAGGTTGATTTAATTAGGAAATACAAATTCTTCTTCCGAAACGGATTTTCAAGTATTTCAAAGTTGTGGTTTGCCTTGTATGTGAACCACTTGCTTGTGTTGACGTAAAATGACCTCATAAGTGCATCAAATCTAATACTCGGCATGCACTTGTTATCTGCCTGAAGAATAAATTTTTATGGATTTCGAATGCAAATGCAAAAGTTTCGAATGCGAAAATTTTGAATTTCTAGATTCATTAGAACGCTATTTCACGTATTTTAGGACGAGGTTTGAAGAAAAGTTACAACCACAAAAAATGCATTTTTAAGTCGCCTAATGTTGTTAGATCGAAAAAATACTTTTGTAAAACATTGTATTGCACACGCAAATACAACAGCAAAATAGCATGATGTCTTCGTTTTTGTAGAAGTCCGTCATGAGTGCTGCTTTGAGCGCAAATTCAAGTTCAAATGTGCTTTAAAACAACTATAGGCATTTTTTACTGGAGTTAGGATTCTAGGTAGGGAAGACTTCAATTTTTATTGGCAAACAGAAGAGATGGGTATCATTATTCACACATCGCACCCCCACCCCAATTTCTGGCCGGTTTTAGCTTTCCACAAGGGCAGTCCTTCTGCCCATTGCAAAGCCCCCATCTTGGCTACGCCGCTGATTTACTTCTGCCTTTCATGATCAAAGTTTCAGCTTTTGCGACAAGACTAACAATGCGCATTTTAACTGCACCGCGGGGGCTTGAGGTAATCGGATCGCATTACGTTGGCTGACCTGTTCCAACACGGAAGTTGATTATTTGCTGTTGATATAATATAATTGATCTCTTGGTTTGTGTCAGTGAACTCTAATTTGTGTATGCGTACGCGTTTTTCTTATGTTTATGCAACTTCCATTTCCAAAATGTCCATCTATTACTTTTTTCGACACAAAATAATAATATCTTTCAGATTTTAGCTGGACCGACTTTTTCGTCCCATTCAGGTTTCGGGACCGACTTTTTAGATATATTTCACAAAACATGGGGGGGGGGGGTTGTTACACCCCCACACCCCCTAATGTGCGCCCCTGGCTTGACCAGGGTTTACATAGCTATATTCTCCACTGCATGGAACCGTATACTTTACATGTATACATGTGCGATAATATATCACATTATCACATGCGTCATAGAATGACTTATAGAGCAACCTATACCCGACCTTGTTATACTGGACTTCAAATTTTGCATTTTTTAATTTTCATAAATATCTCAATATATAGTAATAAAAACGTTGCATGATTTGAATTTCAATGCCTGCTATTTTAAGCAAAATTAATTAGTCTGCATTATTGTCACGCATACTTGTGTCAGTTTGGAAAATTTGAAATATGTTTATCTGATTCAAACTGTGTGAATTTTATGTTTCGGAATTGTTATTAAAAATCAATTAAAATTCCTTCGCGTATATTGCCCAGCCAAAATGTGCGTCCAATGTCAGTACGAACGTGTACCTGAAAAATTATTCATTAATTACATAAAAAAATCATATTAAATAGGGTTAGACTCATCTTGACCAACTATCGGTATGGACTTTCACTGAAATTATATCATAAGAAGATATCACTATCTCAGTAAGTTTCTTATTTTTAGTGCTAAACTCCATGTCCTTAGTTAATATGGAGCATTTTGACAGGCTGGGTATATATTGTTTGTCACATCAATATGAACCTCTTCAGTTTTCGAGCCAAAATAAAAATTTTCCCAAATTGAAAAAGCTGCTAAAACCTATGCATGCAAACAGTACGAAAAGTCGGAAAATAAGTGAATAAACTTCTATGAACATAATTAGATCATACCAAAAATCGGCTTATTTGATTTCATGTACATTCTGTTTCAAGAGCCTCTGAAGTATTAGGGGCTGACCATTTAACTTTTGAGGGGGGGGGGGGTGATTTTGAAAAAAATTTCCTGCAAGGCTATTCTGAACAAAAAAAAAACCTTAAAAACAAACTGGGGAAAAATATCCTCCCCCAGTATTTGGTGGGAAAAAATGTTGCAAAACAGCATGGTTACAGGGATCGACTTGACCAGTCCGAGAAGATCAGCTGGCTTGATTTTCAGGGACTAGTGTAAGGTTAATTTCGGTTGGAAAACAACTCAAAATGCCGGAAATAGCTTATCTCAGCTTTAAAAAATCCAAAAATTCCCGAGGGGGGGGGGGGCATGCCCCCACACTCCTCTAGAGGCTCGCACCTTCGGTGGTCGACCCAATTGTCTCAGAATCCTAGTTAAGCATGGCCTGAGCTGTTGCCTTATGACGTATACTTATTAGATATAACCATGCATATAAAGCTATTTCAATTAAGGTTGTCTACGAGCAAAGCGGAAAAGTCGAATACGAAAATTCATTAATTTGTTAGCGATTCCCAGCAGCCTTTCGCGCTCGTATTCGACTTTTCCGCTTTGCTCGTGGACAACCTTAATTGAAATAGCTGTATGGTGTAGGTAGCTGCAGAGTACAGACAGGGCTGTAGCGAGGGGGTATTGTGGGATGGTTAACCCCCCTCCCCAACTTTTTTAGAATCAGCATATTCAGAAAATCGGGTTGGCCATTCGGAAAATTACGGCAATAATAGTAGAACAAAATTTTAGTTGTTAAACAGAGAACTGAATATTATAAAATTGTATTGTCACTATAAATTGTAAGCAAATTGTAAATTTCTACATACTAAAACGCTTTTTTCTGACCATCAGCATTCTGTCAAACTTCCCCAAAGTCAAGGAAATGGCATTTCAGAGACTCAAGTTCCCCACCGCACTGCTTCTGTAATATGTCTGTGCGTAAAATATGCGTATTTTTGTTTGTAAATTGCGTCTTCATTTTCCGAATAGCAAACACCTTAGTGGCTTAGTATGCCATGATATATTCGGAAATTTTTTTTGTCATTCGGAAATTTTTGGCCTACACCACCCCAAAATATACATGCTAGCTACCTCATAGCAATATGTATTATTAAGAGCAATGCATAAAGCTAGAAAACTCAACGTTAACAATAATTAAATAATCTAAATAGTATAAGCTATAGAAAAAAAAATGCTGTGAAAGAAAGTGTGGCGAAAAAAAATCGTACATGGTAATGGGATAAAAAAATCTTGCACATAACGATCCCTGAAAAAAATTCCCTGCCAGCAGTAAATCATCCCCCCCCCCCCCTCAAAAGTTAAATGGTCGGCACCTAACAGGATCTCTTGATTCAATCGCCTATTAACCGTCAATGACCAACTTGGCTTTTCTAGATTTTATTGCGCACTATTATAAACAAAATCATGTGACATGCTTAATTAATACAGTCTCAGTACCAGATAAACATGCGCGAGCAATAGAGGGGAGGGTTATACCGAGACAAAACTCCCACATGACAAAAAACTCGACGACAAGAACCCGAGGTTCGCGTATTTTTATGATAAACTCCATGTTGAATCATGTTGCCATTCTTAAACTCCCGCTCCCCCAACTCAATGTTAAGCTTGTATCATGGTATATTACCAAAAGTTGTTACGGCGTTGTTCACAACATTGAAATGGGGAGGGAGAGACAAAGTTTGTTTTGTCAATGTTCAATAACTTTGTAATATTAGCTGGAATGGTCTCAAGGGTTTTGTCCAAGATTGTAGCTCGAAAACCTCCTCAACTAGTATATTAAATAAGTCGGTTATAAACTTCAAATTTTGAATATAACTAATATATTTGCCCTCTGGCCATGCGACCCCTCGGGTCAATATATGACTTATACAGCATGAGCTCCACCTTTGAGTAATATATGAGTATCAATATGATAAATTCGCGGCACCTAACCCCTAACACTAACCCCAACCCCTAATCCCAACCCATAACCCCAACCCCTAACCCCTAACCCCAACCCCTAACCCCAACCTCTAACCCCAACCCCTAACCCTAACCCCAACCTCTAACCTCTATCCTAACCCTAAACTAACTTTTTAAACTTTTTTTTACTTTAACTTTTCTTGAAGATCTCGCTTACCACACTGCTGTTGTGATGGAAGAACCTCAAATTAATATATTTCCCGATATGTATGGCCGAATTTTATTGATTTTCCAGTATTTTCTCGAATTTCTTGCATGTTTTCTAGACATGGGGGAGTAGGTGGTGCAGTGAGGATTTGAGGGTGATAGGTGGTCCTACTGTCAACAGAGTGTAAATCTACATCATGAAAATTTTGAAAGAGGGCAAGTGCACTTCCCCAGTTTCGAATCCTTGAGACCCATGAGAATCTTGAGACTACGACCTGCAGGTGTAATAATCCATCTCATTAAACATTTGGCCTCCGGAAAAAAACCAAAAATTTCTGTTAGATATAACAAGGAGGAATTTCGTTCTCGACCAATGTTGACAATTTCGCTCTAAGCCAATCAGAATGCGTAATTGGTTACTGTTGATAGTTTAATTCCCTGCGAGCACAGAAAGCCCACTTCCGGTAAAAAATGCATTTGAACAGAAAATTTAGGGTCTGAAATTAAACTTGGAGGGGATCAGGATTTTCAATTTTGTTATTGGATTCAACAGGACAAGGTAAAATTAGAAATGTTCTAAAAATTTATCGTTGGGATTTGCGTTTTATTCGGCCTAGTTCTAAGATTATTGGCATTCGAACTTTCGCACTTTTTATACGTCGCTGTTCGAATGCCGATAAGTTTAAAACTAAGTAGGAAAACGCAAATCCCAGCGGAAATTGTTTAGAAATGTCTTAATTTACCCTGCCACTTTAACTCCAATCAAAAAATTAAAAATTTTGACCCCCTTGAAGCTTTATTTAAGATCCTAAATTTTCTGTTCAAATGTTTGTTTTTACCGGAAGTAGTAACCAATTATGCATTCTGATTGGCTGAGAGCAAAAATGTCAACAAATGCATTCATTGATCGGGAACGAAATTCCTCCTTGTTGTTAGATATACCTTCGAATTTTTTCCTTTAATATGGTTTGTTTCAAATTAGAGTAACTTAATGGTCTATTGCCCGTTCCAGATGCTACATTTTACATGTGCCTTATCTGAAGGGTATAATTAATAATTATATTAAGATTTAAGGCATATTTTATATAAGGATTTTTCTATCTGTATGTGTTGTAGTGTGGGATCCAGGAAAACAAATTTAACACAGATTATTTTTAAATGCCAAACTTGAGATTCTAGATCTCCTTTAATTTAAAATTTAAAAGTAGAAGCGCAATGCACGCCTTGTTTCAAGAGATTTACTGTGCAAACGAGATTTTGTCTTATTTTATTTGGAGCGAGGATTTGAACAAAATATTGGAGAAAGACGAAATATTCTAAGAGAATTTAACCTAGTTTTAGTCGCAGAATCCTCTATAGTTTCAATACAATATAATAGAATGTTTAAAGAAGTTGAAAAAAAGAAAACAGTTGTGAAAAGGAAGAAAATATTTTTGGCAATGATACCTGCATATTTCATCTATAAACAAGAATACAATATTCATATTATCAGGCCTGACTTAATTGCTTGCTATACATGCAACCATCCCATGGAGTTTGTACTAAAGATTTTAAATTAAAGAACACAATTTATATAGACGCGTTCACACAAGAGCAACCAATGTTGGAACCTTCTGCAAAATTAAATTTGTCAGTTTCAACAGACCTTTCCCCTTTTGAGTGAAATTTTGATCTAGACAAGTCTGGAAAAAAATTTCATCACAGCTTGAACGAGCATCACAATTAAAATTAGTAATATTCCGAAGTTTCGTTGCGAAATGTTGTAAAATGCGGATAATATAGTCTTGCGAAGTTTGCCGTTTTTCAGTCATTTTGTATTACAAATGGAAATTGATAACCAGTTTGATCATCTGATTATCAATTTCCCGTTTGTAATGCAAAATGACTGAAAAACGGCAAACTTCGTAAGGCTATATTATCATTTTACAACATTTCGCAACGAAACTTAGGAATATTACTAATTTTGTGATGCTCAGTCTTTCAAGCTGTGATGAAATTTTTGTCCAGGCATATCTAGATCAAAATTTCACTCATAAGGGGAAAGGTCTACTTATTCACAAGGCAATTCGTGCAAAAATGCATGTATATACACACTGTAGTTGCTCGACCGTGGAAGGATTGCTGTTGTAGTTACTTCGCGCAGCCGGGAAGTTGAAACAGGGCAATTTTATTGTGATTCCGAATTCATTCCGGGTTCAGTAAGAACGTAGACTATAGTTCGATCACGATTCATTCTTTTACTGTGACAGTCGATTAAAATTTAAAATTCGATTGGCTTAAGCATCCTTCAATGTTAAAAACGGTCACTATATGGCAACCACGTAGGCCTACGATGTTGACTCATGAAGTCAGTCGCGCAGTGGGCGTCTGAATCAAATGCTGTTCTTACTCTGAGTCTCTGACTTAATGTCAGAATCAGCTCATAAAAAATACGCAGCCCGTCGATCATTACAGTAGCCCATATAATGATCATGTTGGTGCAATATATACGGCTATAAATTTGTGATGCTATTTACTAAATCATGTAATCGATATCTCATACCTTACATAGTGTAGATTAAACAGTACAACTGATTGTCGAGAAAAATTCACAGCCTGATCGGTACTGATTTCACTGAGTGGAAATCCAAAGCTTTTGAAGCAATGTCTCGACTTCTTTATTTGGCTATATATATATATATATATAAGTGCTATTTTGCAATGCAAATTTTGCAGATTCAATCAATTTTCACAGGAATGTTTTTGTTTTATACAGTGTGTATAAAAAAAACTGAACCCTTTCAAATTCAAATTAGCTATAACGTATTGTAGTAATTTGACAGCTCTAATTGCTTTGAATTAATGGTTGGGTAAGAACACAAGGTCTTGTACTCATGGGATGAAAGTCAAAGAAATAAAAATTAGAAAATTTAAAAGTTTTTAAGAGTTTTGTCCCATGAGTACAAGACCTTGTGTTCTTATACCCAACCATTAATTCAAAGCAATTAGAGCTGTCAAATTACTACAATACGTTATAGCTAATTTGAATTTGAATGGGTTCAGTTATTTTTATACACCCTGTAGAATATTGTTTGTTACTTAAATTAAGTGACATAAAGTGTTTTTATGACAAACGATTTAGTGTTTCTCAGTAATGAATAATTTAATAACGTTTAGTAGGCCTAAAACTAGATCCACAAGCGAAATCAAAAGATGTCTTCCATTTCGTCTATAAAATTAGATATTTATTTAGTGAATATTGTGAAAATTAGATATATAGTGAAAATTAGATATTTAGTGAATATGTCGGAGACCTTTAAGTACTTTATAATACGGAAAAACATATAGTTCATTTTGTTTAACCTTATTTGGTTCGCGCGCGTGATTACCACGCGAGGACGCTTTGTGGGGGGTAGTGAGAGAATTTACATTTCAGAAAGGGCGAGATATTTCTGTGATTTGTGAAGCGAAAAATATAATCTTTTGTA